CTCTGCATGTGAACTGGCCTTGTGGTTGCTTGCTTGTGCTCAGAATGCGAGGTGATCTTGAGATCCACCATGAGCTTTGCTTTGTTTTGTTCTCTTGCTTGACTGGTCTTGTGACCGTTGGTTGTTCTTGCTATCCCCCACTTTTGTCAAACATTGTATATGTTCTATTTGTGTAGGCTATAGTGGGTTAGCCTTTAGGGGGTACACCATGCTAGGGTGTGGCACTTGTACTCTCATTCCTTTCTAGTTCACACACTTCTCTTTCTTAACATGGTATTAAGAGCTTAGGTTCTAGACCTAGGACTCACCTAAGGGCCCACCGTTAGAAGCGCCCTCGAGCGCCATATCGACCTAGCGCCCTCGAGCGCCTTCCTCCTAGTGCGCCCTCGTGCGCCTAGTCTTCTCCTGCTGCTCGTGCGCGGCTCGCTAGTGCCGCGCGCGGCCTTTTTTTTTTTCGCGTGCGTCGCCCCCTAACAGCCCGCGCGCGGCCGTTTCTGCGCGCGCGCCGCCCGTTAGCCGCCCACGCTGCCACGCGCCGCCCGCTAGCCGCCCGTCGAAGGGCCCTCCTGGCCGCGCGTAGCCCTCTAGCGACCGGCAGCCCCGCCCGTAGGCCGCGCCGTCGCCCTCTAGGCCGCCCGCGCGCTAATCAGGCCCACGCAAGGCCACGGCCCGCCCGCTACAGTCGCCCGTGTGCACGCCCCCACCGTCGCGCACCGATCCGTAGCCCAGCCCGAGCCGAACCGCGCCGCCCGAACCGAGCCGCGCCGCCCGAACCGAGCCGCGCCGCCCGAACCGAGCCGCGCCGCCCTACTGTTCCTGCTACTGCTACTGCAGCTACTACTACTACTGCCACTGCAACTATGGCTAGTCCTGCTGTGCTAGCTTTCGATGTTAGAATGTAGAACTGAACGAGAATGTGTGAAACTAGGCAGCAGGGTGATACAAGTAGGAAACCCTAGCAATGTTGTACCCCCTAAGGCTAAACCCACTATAGCCTACACAATATGAACATGTATAATGTTTGACACACCCCCATAGGCTAAGTGGGAGACAACCAGATGGTCACAAGACCAGTCAAAGCAAAGCAAAGCAAGCTCAGGGTGGATCTCAAGGAAACCACACAAATTCCGAGCACAAGCAAGTGGTCACAAGACCAGTTCACATGCAGTTTGATAATATAACAAGAGGTACAGTGATCACAACCTAACAAAAGTAAACATGCAGGTATATATATATAGAGATCACAGTACAAGCAGAGTCAAGAAGTGAGCAAGTGAGGGAGAGTAGGCACAAGGCCTAGAACCGTACAGAAACGCTGATGGTCACAAGGCTGAAGCGCCTTGGTGAACACATCAGCAGTGTTGGCCCGAGTGGCCACGTAACGCAGACGAAGCTGACCACGCTGCTGCAGCTCTCGAGCAAGGAAGTAGCGCAGAGCGATGTGCTTCGTCCTGTGCTCCAGTCTGTGCTCCTCACACAAGGCAATGGCGGCCTTGTTGTCAACGTACAGCACTGGAGGAGAACGAGGCCGCTCTCCCAGGTCGGTCAGTAGGTAGGTGAGCCAGCGTAACTCCTGTGCAGCCATGGCTGTGGCGTAGATCTCAGCCTCACAACTGGAGCTGAGAACAGAAGAAGAGCGAGTAGAACGCCAAGAAACTGAACCAGAGCCAAGGCTGAAGGTGTAACCCTGAGACGACCGCTGCGTAGCCTGGTCGTCAGCCCAAGAAGCGTCTGAGTGACCCGTGAGGACAACGTCGCTCCGACCTCCAAGCACGAGCCCCATGCCCGACGTACTGCACAAGTAGCGCAACACCCTCTTAGCGGCATCCATGTGCTCCTTCCGGTGACGGCCGGGAGCGACATAGCGTGCTAGGATGCTAAGAGGGTATGCCAGGTCAGGTCGAGTGCAGGTCATCAGGTACATGAGGCAGCCCACAAGCTCTGGATTTGGGCCACTCGGCTCTACGGACTCATCCGAAGGCAGAGCTGAGAGCGGCCAGTCTACGGTCTCCGCTAGGCGCCCCGTGAGTGGCACGACACACTGAGGTCTACTCTTGCTGCTCTTGGGTTTGCTCCTTCTACTGCCGACCCGTCGCTGTTTCTACGCACCGACACCACTCTGCCGTCGTTCTACGTTCTCGTGTACGTAGACGACTTGGTCTTTGCTACTGCTGACTCTGAGGCACTCGCCTACGTGAAGTCGGAGCTGCAGAAAAGACACACGTGCACGGACCTGGGTGAGCTGACAAGCTATCTTGGCTTGCGGATCACCCGGGATAGAGCACAGCGCACCATCACCTTGACTCAGTCACACATGGTGCAGCAGGTCCTTCAGCGCTTCCGCTTCACGTACTCCTCGCCTCAGCCCACTCCTCTGCCTACCGGTCACTCGCTCTCAGCTCTGCCTTCGGATGAGTCCGTAGAGCCGAGTGGCCCGTATCCAGAGCTTGTGGGCTGCCTCATGTACCTGATGACCTACACTCGACCTGACCTTGCATACCCTCTTAGCATCCTAGCACGCTATGTCGCTCCTGGCCGTCACCGGAAGGAGCACATGGATGCCGCGAAGAGGGTGATGCGCTACTTGTGCAGTACATCGGGCATGGGGCTTGTGCTTGGAGGACGGCGCGACGTTGTCCTCACTGGACACTCAGACGCTTCTTGGGCTGACGACCAGGCTACGCAGCGGTCGTCTCAGGGTTACACCTTCAGCCTTGGCTCTGGCTCAGTGTCTTGGCGTTCTACACGCTCGTCTTCAGTTCTCAGCTCCAGTTGTGAGGCTGAGATCTACGCCACAGCCATGGCTGCACAGGAGCTACGCTGGCTCACCTACCTGCTGACCGACCTGGGAGAGCGGCCTCGTTCTCCTCTAGTGCTGTACGTCGACAACAAGGCCGCCCTTGCCTTGTGTCAGGAGCACAGACTGGAGCACAGAACGAAGCACATCGCTCTGCGCTACTTCCTTGCTCGAGAGCTGCAGCAGGTGGTCAGCTTCGTCTGCGTTACGTGGCCACTCGGGCCAACACTGCTGATGTGTTCACCAAGGCGCTTCAGCCTTGTGACCATCAGCGTTTCTGTACTGTTCTAGGCCTTGTGCCTACTCTCCCTCACTTGCTCACTTCTTGACTTTGCTTGTACTGTGATCTCTATATATATACCTGCATGTTTACACTTGCTAGGTTGTGATCGCTGTACCTTTTGTTCTATTATCAAACTGCATGTGAACTGGTCTTGTGACCACTTGCTTGTGCTTGGAATTTGTGTGGTATCCTTGAGATCCACCCTGAGCTTGCTTTGCTTTGACTGGTCTTGTGACCCCTTGTTCTCCCCCACTTTGCCTATGGGGGTGTGTCAAACATTGTATATGTTCTATTTGTGTAGGCTATAGTGGGTTAGCCTTTAGGGGGTACACCATGCTAGGGTGTGGTACTTGTACTCTCATTCCTTTCTAGTTCACACACTTCTCCTTCTTAACAACTTTGCTTATGGGGGTGTGTCAAACTGTGTGTATATGTTTGTAGGCTATAGTGGGGTATCCTCTTCTGGATACATTACTTAAGGGTTAGACCTACTTGTAGTCATCTCACATTCCTAGTCATCATTATTGCCTGCTATTTCTGACAAATAGTCCATGTACTTGCTATTAGTCGCTGTGGGGCATACGGTACAGGGCTGTTTTTATTAGGGTAATTACCCTGATTTCAGGGTGATTTCAGGCTTTCCACTTAGTGGAGACTGAGATTTTAGAATTTATGTGTTCTCAACACTGATCCAATCAGAGTAGTAGTTTTCCGATTCCTGATTTTGAGTATAGTGTAACAGACTTTCCTGTTAGTGGACCCTGACTTTAAAGAGTATCGACTTTGTGGTCCCTGAATTTGACCTTATCGAGAAGAAGCTTCTCGGAGATTTCCTTCCGATAACCCCGCCTTCAGATTGTTCGCAGTACAGCCAGCGTGTGAGCGACCCCGAATATGACATTATCGGGACAAAATTTCTTCGAACTTTCGTTCCGACACACTCACCATCCGGGTCGTACTGTGAGTTTCCAGGAAAGTACCCATGTGCGTAGCTTCCCGCTTCATCAAGAAGAAGATTGGTGGAACTTTCGTTCCGATACACCCACCATCGAGGTTCAGTTTCGATAATGCACAGCGCGTTACTACTCTGATTCTAACTTCTCGACCCTGAACAGACAGACTATATAACTTCCCAACACTGAGCAATCAGGGTGATTTTTTTCTGGAAAATGTGCACCCAGAATACAGGGGGAAAAAAATTCCCGGATTCAGGGAGGCCTAATCTGAAACGTCAGCCCTGATACAGTACCACACCGTATGCAAACTCAGTATAATGACAGTCTGAACTTACCGTATGATTGTTTTTTGAGTTCTCTAACATGTCATATAACTCTGAAGCAGCCAGGGTGCAGAAAAATAATTCTGAAATTTAAAAAATCTCAAAATCAAGGCCTCAAATTTCATACAACGAGACTAAAATAGTATGATAATGTTAGCCCTGATATCAGAGTACCGATAATACATTGCCAAGTCGCCCCGATCTTACGCCGCATGAATAGCCCGAGCCTCCATGCAAGCATTGCTTCCCCTCACATAATAACTTTCATTTGCCCAGTTATTGCAAACCTTAGCTCGACCCATTGCAAGAGTAACACCTATTCAAATATAAATGATGTTGGTTCCATTTTAAAGAACACTGAATTGCTCGTTGCAATGTTCTGCGCCGTTAGGTGCTGTTTATCGCCACACCACGACCAGTGTCGCAAAATCGTAAGCGCTCAAACATTTCGTTCCATTTTCGATAAATTCCCACACCCCCGTAATAATCCCTAAACCCGAAATCCAGAACCCCTCGTAGTTTTGTTCGTGTGTCAGCAGCGCTGTTTACTTTTTGCGGAATCTAAGTTTCGTTCGAGATTGGGTTAGACACTTTGCACGCTACGCCATTATCTTCGCGTGGCAGTGCAGCGCAACGGAGCAATGAAGGCGGCGAAGCGGGGAGCGAAGGCGCCTCGCGCTGGTGGCGGGCGATCCGATCCCAGCGCGCCGCAGATGCCGCCAACCGTCATCTCTGACACGCGGTTCGCCGCGCTCCACTCAGACCCGCGATTTGCGGTGAGTCTCCACTGCCCTCCTCTAACATGCCACGCGCCCTCACCCCCTGCCATGCCCTTCCCTCCTAATGCCTCTCGCGTTACATCCTCGCGCCCCTCCTGCCGTGCTGCCGTGTTTCCGCCTGCCGTGCTGCACACGGGGGCTGCGCGCATCCGCACAAGGGGGTTCCCCCTCTCCCCCTATCGCTGCCCGCACCCCTGCGTCCCCATAATTCCGGACCCCGAACCCCAAAGTTGAATGCTGAAATTCAAACCCATGGACGGCGATTCTAAACGCGAATTTGAAATTTCCGCGGCCACCCGTCCTTGTCCCCCCCAGCGTGTGCCGGTGCGCGAGACGCGCGTGGCGGTGGACGCGCGGTTCTCCGGCATGTTCTGCTCGGCGCAGTTCGGCGAGGCGGGCGGCGTGGACAAGCGCGGACGGCGGCGCGAGGCACAACGAGGGGCCGACCTGAAGCGGTACTACCGCGTTGATGAGGGGGGGGGCGGGGAGGAGGGGGAGGAGGGGAATGAGGGCAGAAGGGAGAGAAACAAGGAGGAAGCAAGGTTGAAAAAGGAGGAGGAGGAAGAGGAGGAGAAGGAGAAGGAGGAGGAGGAGGAGGAGGAGGAGGAGGAGGAGGAGGAGGAGGAGGAGGAGGAGGAGGTGGAGGAGGAGGAGGAGGAGGAGGAGGGTGAGGTACATGAGAGCGATGAAGAAGAGGGGAGGGAGGGCTCAGATGACTCGTCGTCCTCGTCCTCCTCGTCCTCATCAGGCTCGGAGAGTGAAAGCGATGAAGAGGCATCAACCCTACAGGTGCGTGCCTTACTCCAATCCCTCTCTGCTCGCCTTTGCCCCCCTGCTCACCCCCTACCCGTTCGCATCTCTCAATCTCTGCACGCCTTACGTCTCGCCGCGCACTCATCTCTGGACCGCCTTGATCACGCCGTTCCGCTTCCCCACCACATGCGCTTCCCCACCACATGCACTTCCCCACCACATGCACTTCCCCACCACATGCACTTCCCCACCACATGCACTTCCCCACCACATGCACTTCCCCACCACATGCACTTCCCCACCACATGCACTTCCCCACCACATGCACTTCCCCACCACATGCACTTCCCCACCACATGCACTTCCCCACCACATGCACTTCCCCACCACATGCACTTCCCCACCACATGCACTTCCCCACCACATGCACTTCCCCACCACATCCACTTCCCCACCACATGCACTTCCCCACCACATGCACTTCCCCACCACATGCACTTCCCCACCACATGCACTTCCCCACCACATGCACTTCCCCACCACATGCACTTCCCCACCACATGCACTTCCCCACCACATGCACTTCCCCACCACATGCACTTCCCCACCACATGCACTTCCCCACCACATGCACTTCCCCACCACATGCACTTCCCCACCACATGCACTTCCCCACCACATGCACTTCCCCACTCTTGCTCATCTCTGCTCCACCCCCTTCCTCCCTCCCATCGCCCCACATCCGCTCTGCCCCCATCGCTCACCGCCGTCTATTCCGCCTGGCAGCAGGAGGAGGAGCGAGTGGAGACGGTGGAGGAGGCAACGAGGCGCCTTGCGCTCGTCAACATGGACTGGGACAACGTGCGGGTGAGATGAGAGAGGAGACGGGCGTGCGTGTGAGACGGGGGGAACGTGCGGGTGAGACGGGGGGGACCGTGCGGGTGAGACGGGGGGGAACGTGCGGGTGAGCCGGGGGGGAACGTGCGGGTGAGAGGATAGGAGAGGGATAACGTGCGGGTGAGAGGAGAGGAGAGGGATAACGTGCGGGTGAGACAAGGGAGGGCAACGTGCGGGTGAGAGGGATAACGTGCGGGTGAGAGGGATAACGTGCGGGTGAGAGGGATAACGTGTGGGTGAGAGGGATAACGTGTGGGTGAGAGGAGAGGAGAAGGACAACGTGCGGGTGAGAGGAGGGGCAACGTGCGGGTGAGAAGAGGCAACGTGCGGGTGAGAAGAGGCAACGTGCGGGTGAGAAGAGGCAACGTGCGGGTCAGAGGGGCAACGTGCGGGTGAGAAAAGCACCGTGCGGGTGATAAAAGCACCGTGCGGGTGAGAAAAGCACCGTGCGGGTGAGAAAAGCACCGTGCGGGTGAGAAAAGCACCGTGCGGGTGAGAAAAGCACCGTGCGGGTGAGAAAAGCACCGTGCGGGTGAGAAAAGCACCGTGCGGGTGAGAAAAGCACCGTGCGGGTGAGAAAAGCACCGTGCGGGTGAGAAAAGCACCGTGCGGGTGAGAAAAGCACCGTGCGGGTGAGAAAAGCACCGTGCGGGTGAGAAAAGCACCGTGCGGGTGAGAAAAGCACCGTGCGGGTGAGAAAAGCACCGTGCGGGTGAGAAAAGCACCGTGCGGGTGAGAAAAGCACCGTGCGGGTGAGAAAAGCACCGTGCGGGTGAGAAAAGCACCGTGCGGGTGAGAAAAGCAACCGTGCGGGTGAGAAAAGCAACGTGCGGGTGAGAAAAGCAACGTGCGGGTGAGAAAAGCAACGTGCGGGTGAGAAAAGCAACGTGCGGGTGAGAAAAGCAACGTGCGGGTGAGAAAAGCAACGTGCGGGTGAGAAAAGCAACGTGCGGGTGAGAAAAGCAACGTGCGGGTGAGAAAAGCAACGTGCGGGTGAGAAAAGCAACGTGCGGGTGAGAAAAGCAACGTGCGGGTGAGAAAAGCAACGTGCGGGTGAGAAAAGCAACGTGCGGGTGAGAAAAGCAACGTGCGGGTGAGAAAAGCAACGTGCGGGTGAGAAAAGCAACGTGCGGGTGAGAAAAGCAACGTGCGGGTGAGAAAAGCAACGTGCGGGTGAGAAAAGCAACGTGCGGGTGAGAAAAGCAACGTGCGGGTGAGAAAAGCAACGTGCGGGTGAGAAAAGCAACGTGCGGGTGAGAAAAGCAACGTGCGGGTGAGAAAAGCAACGTGCGGGTGAGAAAAGCAACGTGCGGGTGAGAAAAGCAACGTGCGGGTGAGAAAAGCAACGTGCGGGTGAGAAAAGCAACGTGCGGGTGAGAAAAGCAACGTGCGGGTGAGAAAAGCAACGTGCGGGTGAGAAAAGCAACGTGCGGGTGAGAAAAGCAACGTGCGGGTGAGAAAAGCAACGTGCGGGTGAGAAAAGCAACGTGCGGGTGAGAAAAGCAACGTGCGGGTGAGAAAAGCAACGTGCGGGTGAGAAAAGCAACGTGCGGGTGAGAAAAGCAACGTGCGGGTGAGAAAAGCAACGTGCGGGTGAGAAAAGCAACGTGCGGGTGAGAAAAGCAACGTGCGGGTGAGAAAAAGCAACGTGCGGGTGAGAAAAGCAACGTGCGGGTGAGAAAAGCAACGTGCGGGTGAGAAAAGCAACGTGCGGGTGAGAAAAGCAACGTGCGGGTGAGAAAAAGCAACGTGCGGGTGAGAAAAAGCAACGTGCGGGTGAGAAAAGCAACGTGCGGGTGAGAAAAGCAACGTGCGGGTGAGAAAAGCAACGTGCGGGTGAGAAAAGCAACGTGCGGGTGAGAAAAGCAACGTGCGGGTGAGAAAAGCAACGTGCGGGTGAGAAAGCAACGTGCGGGTGAGAAAAGCAACGTGCGGGTGAGAAAAGCAACGTGCGGGTGAGAAAAGCAACGTGCGGGTGAGAAAAGCAACGTGCGGGTGAGAAAAGCAACGTGCGGGTGAGAAAAGCAACGTGCGGGTGAGAAAAGCAACGTGCGGGTGAGAAAAGCAACGTGCGGGTGAGAAAAGCAACGTGCGGGTGAGAAAAGCAACGTGCGGGTGAGAAAAGCAACGTGCGGGTGAGAAAAGCAACGTGCGGGTGAGAAAAGCAACGTGCGGGTGAGAAAAGCAACGTGCGGGTGAGAAAAGCAACGTGCGGGTGAGAAAAGCAACGTGCGGGTGAGAAAAGCAACGTGCGGGTGAGAAAAGCAACGTGCGGGTGAGAAAAGCAACGTGCGGGTGAGAAAAGCAACGTGCGGGTGAGAAAAGCAACGTGCGGGTGAGAAAAGCAACGTGCGGGTGAGAAAAGCAACGTGCGGGTGAGAAAAGCAACGTGCGGGTGAGAAAAGCAACGTGCGGGTGAGAAAAGCAACGTGCGGGTGAGAAAAGCAACGTGCGGGTGAGAAAAGCAACGTGCGGGTGAGAAAAGCAACGTGCGGGTGAGAAAAGCAACGTGCGGGTGAGAAAAGCAACGTGCGGGTGAGAAAAGCAACGTGCGGGTGAGAAAAGCAACGTGCGGGTGAGAAAAGCAACGTGCGGGTGAGAAAAGCAACGTGCGGGTGAGAAAAGCAACGTGCGGGTGAGAAAAGCAACGTGCGGGTGAGAAAAGCAACGTGCGGGTGAGAAAAGCAACGTGCGGGTGAGAAAAGCAACGTGCGGGTGAGAAAAGCAACGTGCGGGTGAGAAAAGCAACGTGCGGGTGAGAAAAGCAACGTGCGGGTGAGAAAAGCAACGTGCGGGTGAGAAAAGCAACGTGCGGGTGAGAAAAGCAACGTGCGGGTGAGAAAAGCAACGTGCGGGTGAGAAAAGCAACGTGCGGGTGAGAAAAGCAACGTGCGGGTGAGAAAAGCAACGTGCGGGTGAGAAAAGCAACGTGCGGGTGAGAAAAGCAACGTGCGGGTGAGAAAAGCAACGTGCGGGTGAGAAAAGCAACGTGCGGGTGAGAAAAGCAACGTGCGGGTGAGAAAAGCAACGTGCGGGTGAGAAAAGCAACGTGCGGGTGAGAGAGGAGAGGCAGCATGGAGTGGCACAAACAGGGACGTGGGTGGGAAGGTATGGGGTTAAGCCTGGCATGGACATGGGAGGTGTCAACGGGAATGTTGTTAGGCCCCGTCCTCGCTTGGGCGGAGCCGACCTCGTGGTCGGGTGTGCGGGGGATGCAGCCGACCTACAGCAGTGGGCACGGGGGCCACTGCAAGGGCGCCGAGCTGGAGGGCGCCTGGTTGGAGGGCGCCGAGCAGGAGGACGCCGTCCTGGGCGTCTGCACGGCGTCCTGTGAGCCTGGACGCCGACCTGGGCGTCTGCACGGCTTCCTGGGCGCCTGGTCGACTCCCTGGACGCCTGGACAGCGTCCTGGGAGCCTGGACGCCGACCTGGGCGTCTGCACGGCTTCCTGGGCGACTGGACGCCGACCTGGGTGTCCGGACGGCGTCTTGGGCGCCTGGACGCCGACCTAGGCGTCCGGACGCCGACCTGGGTGCTGGGACACCTCCTTTTGGGACGCCGGTCAGGTGTAGCCGGCGACCGACTAAGCTGGGCGACCAGGCGTGGTTGCCCGCTCAACCTGGATACCCGGGCGACGTGTGCGAAGGTCGCCGGGGAGGCTTCTGCGAGGCCGACCTCGGGGGTGGTATCCCGAGGTCGACGTGTCTGGCGGGCGCAGTCGCTGGCGTGCAGTCGACCTGGGCGTCTGCGCTGTGCACGTGACGAGGAGTGGTGCACCAACCAGCTGCACGCACCTGCGAAGCAGGTGCACCGTTGTCATGCAGGTGCAACGCTGTGCAACCGACTTGCTGCAGCGTTGGCACACCGTGGACTTGCAACGTTGGCGAACCGCTACTCTGCAACGCTGGAGCGGTGCGAGCGCTGCTGTGATGGAGCGCGGTCGACCATGCTGCGCTGGAGGTCGACCAGCAGCCTAGCTAGCTCTGATGTAGTCTGTGTTGCCAATGTTGTATCACCTATTGTTGTGAACTTTTGCTAGTGGAACTTTTGCCAAATTCCCCCGTGAACCAGCAAGTAGTGCAAGCACGAGTAAACGACTAAGTGAACGAACGCAGAGATCACTCTTGCCCCGTGCCTAGCCCGTAGCCTAGCTCCCGTTGAACGAGTTATCTCCGCAGGAGGGAGCCGCAGCGGGCAAGCGAAGAGGCATGCAGAGCAGCAGAACGACTCCCGTGCTCCCTCTTGCTGCCCCCGCACTCACGATTCTCCTCTCCTTTTCTTTCCATTCCCTCCTGCTCCCCCTCCTTCCCACCCCCCTGCCACGGCAGGCAGTGGACATCCTGGTGGTGCTGCGCTCCTTCGTGCCGCCCGGGGGGCGCATCACGGCCGTCACCGTGTACCCCTCCGACTTCGGCCTGCACCACATGGAGGCGGAGCTTGAGAGCGGCCCGCAGGGGCTCTTCCACGCGGGCAGGGGTGCACGGGGGAAGGCAGGGCGGGGGGCTCAGGTGCGGGGAGGTGTGGGGGGCGAGGAGCGGGATGGAAATGAGGAGGAGGAGGAGGAAGGGGAGAGCAGTGAGGAGGGCGAGGGCGTGGATGCGGAGAGGCTGAGGGAGTACGAGAAGTCCAAGCTCAGGTGAGCGCCCTCTCTCGCCCCCTCCCACACTGGCCTGTCCCTGTCCGCCCTCACCCCACAAGTAAGAGTTTGAGTGCCGAACCCCCATCCATTCCTCATTCCCCTATCCTTCTCCTCCTCCCCCCCCCCCCGGAGCGAGGGAGCAGGTACTACTACGCGGTGGTGGAGTGTGACAGTGCGGGCACGGCGGCACACGTGTACGCGGAGTGTGACGGCATGGAGTTTGAGAATAGTGCCAACCAGCTCGACCTGCGCTTCATCCCCGATGCCATGGCCTTCAACGACCGACAACCCCGCGACTCCTGCACCGAGGTGTGACTCCTGCACCGAGGTGTGACTCCTGCACCCCGGTGTGACTCCTGCACCCAGGTGTGACTCCTGCACCCAGGTGTGACTCCTGCACCCAGGTGTGACTCCTGCACCCAGGTGTGACTCCTGCACCCAGGTGTGACTCCTGCACCCAGGTGTGACTCCTGCACCCAGGTGTGACTCCTGCACCCAGGTGTGACTCCTGCACCCAGGTGTGACTCCTGCACCCAGGTGTGACTCCTGCACCCAGGTGTGACTCCTGCACCCAGGTGTGACTCCTGCACCCAGGTGTGACTCCTGCACCCAGGTGTGACTCCTGCACCCAGGTGTGACTCCTGCACCCAGGTGTGACTCCTGCACCCAGGTGTGACTCCTGCACCCAGGTGTGACTCCTGCACCCAGGTGTGACTCCTGCACCCAGGTGTGACTCCTGCACCCAGGTGTGACTCCTGCACCCAGGTGTGACTCCTGCACCCAGGTGTGACTCCTGCACCCAGGTGTGACTCCTGCACCCAGGTGTGACTCCTGCACCCAGGTGTGACTCCTGCACCCAGATGTGACTCCTGCACCCAGGTGTGACTCCTGCACCCAGGTGTGACTCCTGCACCCAGGTGTGACTCCTGCACCCAGGTGTGACTCCTGCACCCAGGTGTGACTCCTGCACCCAGGTGTGACTCCTGCACCCAGGTGTGACTCCTGCACCCAGGTGTGACTCCTGCACCCAGGTGTGACTCCTGCACCCAGGTGTGACTCCTGCACCCAGGTGTGACTCCTGCACCCAGGTGTGACTCCTGCACCCAGGTGTGACTCCTGCACCCAGGTGTGACTCCTGCACCCAGGTGTGACTCCTGCACCCAGGTGTGACTCCTGCACCCAGGTGTGACTCCTGCACCCAGGTGTGACTCCTGCACCCAGGTGTGACTCCTGCACCCAGGTGTGACTCCTGCACCCAGGTGTGACTCCTGCACCCAGGTGTGACTCCTGCACCCAGGTGTGACTCCTGCACCCAGGTGTGACTCCTGCACCCAGGTGTGACTCCTGCACCCAGGTGTGACTCCTGCACCCAGGTATGACTCCTGCACCCAGGTGTGACTCCTGCACCCAGGTGTGACTCCTGCACCCAGGTGTGACTCCTGCACCCAGGTGTGACTCCTGCACCCAGGTGTGACTCCTGCACCCAGGTGTGACTCCTGCACCCAGGTGTGACTCCTGCACCCAGGTGTGACTCCTGCACCCAGGTGTGACTCCTGCACCCAGGTGTGACTCCTGCACCCAGGTGTGACTCCTGCACCCAGGTGTGACTCCTGCACCCAGGTGTGACTCCTGCACCCAGGTGTGACTCCTGCACCCAGGTGTGACTCCTGCACCCAGGTGTGTCTCCTGCACCCAGGTGTGACTCCTGCACCCAGGTGTGACTCCTGCACCCAGGTGTGACTCCTGCACCCAGGTGCGATGTGACCCCTCCGTGTGCTGCGATGGGAAAACACTCTCACTAACCCCCGCTTGCGGCATCCACAGCCATGCGTGGAATCGCGGTGGCCGCCAGCTACCGCTCCCAACACATGTCCACTTCCGTCCGTAGCCTCCTCTGCTTACCAAGGCCGTCAGCCGTGAAGGCATGGCATCCCACATGGGCAGGCGAGTGTGGAGGGAGTGGCGGTTGGTCATCGCAGCTGCTCTCGCCGTCTCGCAGCTTCCCAACGCCGCGTTGAGGCAATGTGGAAGGCACCCCATCATGTCGGTAGTGAAGGTGGAGTGCATGCTCACTTGCACTCACACGCGCATGAATGCTTCCAAGGACAAGGGTGGTGAGCGTAGCTGCTGAGGTGAAGCACCGGAGACCCAAGTGGTCTGCTAAGTGTACTCTCACACATCACGTTCTCTAATTGCAACACACCCACACACACACGCCTGCAGGTGCCAGGGGACTACGCGGCGCCGGTGTTCACGACGCGGGTGCTGCAGCACAGCACGGTGAAGCTCACGTGGGATGAGGACGAGCCCACCCGCGTGCGAGCGCTGCGCCGCAAGTTCGCCTCCGACCAGGTGAGTGTGCCGACCAGGTGAGCGTGCCGACCAGGTGAGCGGCGTCAAGGGGCGTGCCATGCCAGCAGGTGCATCTGCCTTCACCACTCCCTCTCCGCTCTCGCTTCCCCCGTTTTTTGCCCTGAACACCCTTTCCTCCGTTGCAGCTCCTGTTCTCAACCCCCCCTTCCACCCCTTTCTCCTGCGGGCTGGGCATGGCCTCACGTGTCCTGTGCGCTGCACTGTGCAGGTGGCGGATCTGGACTTCCGCGACTACCTCGCCTCGTCCTCGGGTGAGGAGGGGGACGAAGAGGGAGAGGACGAGGAGGAGGAGGAGGAGGAGCAGAGAACGGAGAATGGTGGCAGGAAGGAGGAAGGGAAGAAGAAGGGTGGAGGGACAAGAGAGAAGCTGAGGATGCTGTTGAAGGGGCTGGCGGGGGATGGTGAGGGCAAGGGGAGGAAGAAGGGGAAGGGGAGACCGGGAGAGGCAGAGGGGGAGGAGTCGGATGGGGAGGGGTGGGGGTCATCAGGGGTGGAGGGCGACATGGAGGTGACGTTCTCCACGGGGCTGGCAGCGCTGGGTGACAAGCTGGCGCGGCGGCGCAGCGAGCAGCAGCGCGTGGGCAGCGAGACGGTGTTTGAGGCGTACCAGCGGCAGCGCAAGGAGCGCCGCAAGGAGCGCCGCCGCCTGGCCGAAGAGAGCAAGGCGGCAGGAGGGGGCGCAGGGGGGAGTGCGGAGGGGGAGGCGGGAAGCGACGAGGACCTGTACGACAGCAGGCGCGTGCAGCAGGAGGACGACCCCTTCTTTGCTCTGCCCGGCGACGACGACCCCTTTGCCGACCCCTTCTTTGCCTCCGCTCATGCCGGCGCTGCTGCTGCTGGCACGGCCATGGGTGGCAACGCAGGGGCTGGAGGGGCGAAGGGAGTGAAGGCAGGGAAGAGCGAGTATGAGAGGAAGGCAGAAGAGCGAGAGAGGAAGAGGGCGGAGCGGGAGCGGGAGAGGGCAGAGGAGGAGAGGCGGAGGGCGGAGCTGGAGTTGCTGCTGATGGAGGGTGGTGAGGGCGCGGGGGTGAAGGGGTTCAACCTCAAGGCGGACGCACGCAAGGCCAGGGAGCAGCGCCGCGCGCAGGGCAGAGGGGCGAGGGGGGCGCATGGCGCAGCGGGGGAGGAGGAGGCTGACGGGGAGGGAGTAAGAGCGCGGTCGGTGGGTGGTGGTGGCAAGGTGGGGAGGGGCGGAAGGGAGGGGAGGAGTGTGGAGCAGGCAGAGGCGGTGGCGGGGCGGGGTGTGGACGTGGACGTGAATGACCCGCGCTTCGCTGCGCTCTTCACGTCATCGCACTTCGCCATTGACCCCACCGACCCCCGCTTCCTCAAGTGAGCCCTCCATCGCACCCCACTGCTGCCATCTCATCCCATTCCCCCCCATTCCGTTCCATCCCTGCCACTCCATCCCATCCTCTGGCCGCCATTGCGTGTCATGGCGCATGCCCCTCACAGCCTTGGCCCTGCTCCCCCCTCCCCCCCCCCCCCAAACGCCAGGTCGTCAGCCCCGCAGCGCCTGATAGCGGAGAAGCAGCGCCGCCGCGTGCCAGGTGGCGCAGCGGGCGGGGGAGCAGCGGGTGGTGGCGGGAGTGGCAGGGGTTCCGCCAGCCATGGGCGGGGGGGTCAAGGGGGGCTGGGAGGTGGGCGGGGGGCTGGGGATGGGGAGGAGGGGAAGGGTGCGGGTAGTGGCAGGGCGGAGCTGAGTGTGGTTGTGAAGAGCCTCAAGCGCAAGATGGGGCAGAGCACACACAAGGCAGGGCCGGAAACAGGGAAGGCAGCGCCAGGGACAGGCAAGGCGGACGGCCTGAAAAGGCAAAAGAAATGACGCGTTCGGGATGAGGAGAGATGGTGTGAAGGAGAATCCCTTGGTGTGAACGGCCATCCAGCGTGGTATGAATGAGACACTGAGGCCGCGCTGCGTCACCTTCAAGATACAGTAGACGCCCCTGGAAACGACAACGTTCCATAGGTCAACACTTGGGGGTGCTTACTTCCAGGATGTATTGTGTTTTTGTCTTCTATACAGTGTCACTCTGGATAGAGGCGCACCTGCGCTTATAAGAGCGTGTTCCCACGGCCCCCTATCTGGCTTGTCAGACTCGCCTCTGACACTCGCATCTCTCGGTGTTAGGCGACCAGTTATTTGACCTTCGTTTCTGGCTTGCCCTAAGCGTGCAAAATTGTGTGGTATATGTGGCACTTGGCAACAGTAACATATACCGTATGGCCCCGGATATAGGCGCCGTCCGATTAAAGGCGCCGGCGCTTCTATCTGGAGCATGGCGCTTATGGCCGGAATTCGATTATAAGCGCCCCCCCCTGTAAAACCCTGATATATTATAAGCGCATGCCAATTTAATTTTTAAATCACGATTAAAACGGTAACGAATTTCATTTTTTTAGCGAGTCAACACCAGGGCCTCAGAAGTCAGCGAAAAAAGGCTGATTTAGGTAAAAAAGGCTGAGATTTCAGACTTTGTTTAGAACCAGGGCTGATTATTCAGCAATTTTCTGGAAAGAAACAGAAAAAACTATGAATCTTATACTGTAACATGGCATAAAATGGCTATTTTGTCAGATTTTCAGCAAATTTTTTTGTGTCAACTCTGATTGTTCAGACTAGCACAAAACCAATCTGAGGCCCTGGTCAACACCCCCATTTTCACTTTGTTTGACTTTCGAGGACCTCCTGCTTGCGCGTCCAGTCAGTATGAGCTGGCATGCGGGCAAAATGACGTGCTAAAGCTCTGTGCACCGTCAGAGAATCGCCCTCGCGCGATTCTGATTCTGGACCCTGTAAAATTACGATTCGATTCAACTTACGAGACTGAAATCTACAATCTGGTGCGTTTAAGTTGTATTTCTGTATTTGTCATTATATAAGCGCCGGCGCTTATGGCCGATATTCAATTACAAGCGCCCCCCTTAAAAAAACGGATTTTATTATAAGCGCATATGCGCTACAATCCGGGGTAATACGGTACATATGATTATCAGTTCTGTCAGATTTATATGACATAGCTACTGTAGGCTATAGTGGGGTAGCACATATGGGGTACAGTTTTCCTAGGGTTTGCATTTGTACCCAACTTTCCCTTAGTCATTTCATTCCTCGTTTCTTCTCATGGTATCGAGCAGGTTCCCTAGTGGGAACGATTCCTAGGGCCCACCACCACGATTTTTTTTTTCCTGCCCGGAGCGCGCTTCGCTCCGGCCCGAGTCGCGCCCGGTGTGCTCTCCCTACCGTCGCGCCCTCGCTAGGCCCCCCACGGCCCCGTCGCGTCGCCCTTAGCGGCCCTCTCACGGCTCGTCGCGCCGCCCCTACGGCCCTTCGCGCCGCCCTTACGGCCCTTCGTGCCGCCCTTACGGCCCGTCGCGCCCGTCGCGCCGTCCTTACGGCCCCTCGTGCCGCCCCTTACGGCCCCTCGCGCCGTCCCTTACGGCCCCTCGCGCGGCCCCTTACGCCCTCCGCGGCCCCGCCACCTACCTGTGCGGCCCCGCCACCTACCTGTGCGGCCCCGCCACCTACCTGTGCGGCCCCGCCACCTACCTGCGGCCCCGCCACCTACCAGCGGCCCCGCCACCTACCCGCGGCCCCGCCACCTACCTGTGCGGCCCCGCCACCTTCCTGCTGGCCCCGCCACCTACCTGCGGCCCCGCCACCTACCAGCGGCCCCGCCACCTACCTGCGGCCCCGCCACCTACCTGCGGCCCCGCCACCTACCAGCGGCCCCGCCACCTACCTGCGGCCCCGCCACCTACCTGCGGCCCCGCCACCTACCAGCGGCCCCGCCACCTACCTGCGGCCCCGCCACCTACTAGCGGCCCCGCCACCTACCTGCGGCCCCGCCACCTACCTTTGCGGCCCCGCCGCCTCCTCTCAGCGGCCCCGCCGCCTCCTCCCAGCGGCCCCGGACGCCGCCCTCTCAGTGGCCCCGCCGAGCCGCCCAGCAGCCGAGCCGCCCAGCAGCCGAGCCGCCCAGCCGCCGAGCCGCCCAGCAGCCGAGCCGCCCAGAAGCCGAGCCGCAGAGCCGCCCAACAGCCGAGCCGCCGAGCCGCCCAGCAGCCGAGCCGCCGAGCCGCCCAGCAGCCGAGCCGCCGAGCCGCCCAGCAGCCGAGCCGCCGAGCCGCCCTGTAGCCGAACCACCCGAGCCGCCCTGTCCGGTAAGAGCTGCGCCTCTTTCACAGCACTGCCCTCACCCTACTGTTTGCGCTGCTAGTCTACTGCTGTCATGGCTACCCCTAGTGTCCTCGCTTTTGACGCTGAGGGTCGGGCCATTGACTTTGACGTCTGGATAGATGACCTGCAGCTTTTCTTACAGTGCGACAGAGCAGACGGCCTCTCCCTCTTTGACCTCACTTCTGGTGCCTCTCCTGCCCCCGCTGCTGATGCTGATGCCACTGTTCACTCACAGTGGGCCACGCGCGATGCTGCTGCACGTCTTGCTGTGCGTCGCCACCTGCCTACCTCTGAGCGTGCGCACTTTAGCCAGTACAAGAGTGCTCAGACCTTGTACGACGCTGTAGTTGCGCGCTACTCCTCCCCTGCCACTGCTGCACTGAGCCGCCTCATGCTACCGTACCTCTTCCCTGACCTTGCTGCCTTTCCCACAGTCGCTGACCTCATTACGCACCTCCGCACTAGTGACACTCGCTACCGCGCTGCGCTTCCTACTGAGTTCTGCGCCAAGAACCCCCCCCCCATGTACATCACCCTCTACTACATAGTCACCCGGCTCCCTGACTCCCTTCGCGTAGTCAGGGACCACTTCCTCTCAGTTTGCCCCACCACTCTCACCGTTGACCTCCTCGAGAAGTCCCTCCTAGCAGTAGAGAAGAGCATAGTAGCTGTAGGAGCCTCTCGTGGTGACCCTCGCACCCCCATCTTTGAGGGGTGTTCCCCCTCCCCCCTTTTGCCCTCTGTTGCCTCTGCTGCTGCGGCCGACCTCGTTGGGCTTGAGTCGGTCGGTGCGGCGTCTACCCCTAGCGGGAGACGCCGCCCTGGCAAGGGCAAGGGGGGCAGGGGCACTGGAGGAGCTAGCGGGGGCGGTGGAGGCGGCGGTGGAGGCAGTGGAGGGGGTGGGGGTGGCGGTGGGGGTGGTGGTGGGGGTGGAGGTGTCGGTGGCGGCGGTGGAGGCGGAGGCGGCGGCGGCGGTGGCGGTGGGAGCGGAGGTGGCGGCGGTGGAGGAGGCGGCGGCGGAGGAGGTGGAGCTGGTCGGGGTGGCGCTGCGCAGAGGGTCGGCTCCGGTGGTGGTCAGCGCCAGCAGCAGCAGCAGCAGCAGCAGCAGCAGCGCACTCGTGACATCCCCCCTCCTCAGCAGCTCCGTGAGTGGTACGCTGCACGCCAGCGGGGTGGGGGTACTGGTCCGTGCACCTACGTCCTACGCACCGGCGACCGCGCGGGTGACCAGTGCGGGGGTGCGCACTCCACCCAGCGCTGCTTTGGCCGCCTGACGGACGCTTGGCGTCACCAGTTCCCTGAGGCCACTGAGATCCCCCGCTGGGGTGAGCTGTCTAGGGCGGGTGTCGCTGTCTTTGACCTTGACTTTGATGCTATTCTTGCTGCCATGTATACTGTGACTATTAGTGATGAGGGTGACTGTTACCGGTGTTTTCCGCCCGACCCGGGCATTGAGACTGCTGCTCTAGGTACTGGTGAGGCTGCTGCTCTAGGTGCTAGCGAGGCTGCTGCTCTAGGTGCGTCTGCTCCCTCAGGTGCTGGTGAGTCTGCTCTCTCAGGTTCTGCGTCGGCTTCGGCCTCCCACACCTTCACCCTTGACTCGGGGGCTTCTCGCTCCTTCTTTCGAGACCGCACCACACTCACGCCGCTTGGCCGGCCAGTTGCGGTCTCTCTGGCAGACCCCTCTGGGGGTCCTGTCCTTGCTCACTTCTCCACTGTCCTCCCGTGTCCGGCGGCCCCCTCTGGCACCCTGTCTGGTCTTTACCTCCCCTCGTTCTCTACGAACTTGGTGAGTGGTGCTGACCTACAGGATGCGGGGGTTCACCAGTTCACTCCTGCGAGTCAGCGGGTGACCCACTGCACGGACGCTCGGACTGGCCGACACCTGGCCACGTTTACCCGTCGGCCGGGGTCGAGCCTGTACACCCTGACCACTGCGTCTCCTCCAGTCACTGCGTCTGGTCAGGTAGCTGCGTCGGGTCAGGTGTTTGCTGCAGCGTCCAGGTCTGGTCCTGAGTCTGCCCCCTGTTCGTGTCGCCTCCTGTCTCACGAGACTCTCCTCTGGCACCACCGCCTTGGTCACCCCTCCCTGCTTCGTCTCCGAGGCATGGCCTCCCGTGTCCTTGTCTCTGGTCTTCCCCGGTCCCTCCCTCCCCTTCCTCCGGGGCCTGGCCCTACCTGCGTCCCCTGTGTCGAGGGGCGGCAGCGGGCTGCCCCTCACTCCTCCCAGTTTCCTCCGACAGAGGCCCCGCTGCAGACGCTTCACATGGACGTGTGGGGCCCGGCCCGCGTCCGTGGACAGGGTCACGAGCGCTACTTCCTGCTGGTGGTTGACGACTACTCGCGTTACACCACAGTCTTCCCCTTGCGCAGCAAGGGTGATGTCACTGAGGTGTTGATCGACTGGATCCGCGCAGCTCGTCTCCAGCTCAGGCAGAGCTTCGGCTCGGACTTTCCTGTTCTGCGTCTGCACTCTGACAGAGGTGGAGAGTTCTCCTCTGGCCTTCTGCGAGCCTACTGTCGTGCACGAGGCATCCGCCAGACCTTCACGCTTCCGGACTCTCCACAGCAAAATAGGATTGCTGAGTGCCGCATTGGCATGGTCATGGACGTCGCCCGTACGTCCATGATGCATGCGGCTGCCC